CCCAGGATATATGACACATGACTGCAACATGGAACTGCTAAGGGATAAAAGACGTGGGAAAACAGGGGGGCATTTTCCTGGTGTGACCACAGCCTCAGTCATTTTTAGGTCACAGTGGAAAGAGCAGGCATCAAAAAGGATACCTAAGGGGAAAAGCTATATATTTGGGAATGCTGAAGGAGAAACATTCTGCCTTTTGAGCGGGCCTCCATGACTTGTTACATATTAAAATGAATTAAGCCCACCAGAAATGTAATAAAACTTTTGCCCACCTGCCCAGATGTGGGGGGGGGAGGGCAACCACAGGAATTTTGAAGCAGCTGGAGACCATGAAACATGACCAGAGGGTTTTGTTTATTTATTATTTATTTAAAACATTGTTCAACCACCCTCCTCCTTAAAAAGGATACAAGGTAGCTTACAACTAAAAAAATAGTATTTAAGATTAGTAACAATGAGTACACAATACTAAAATGATCAATGAATACAATACCAGAATAAATTCAGTAAGGTCAACAATCCATTTAAAAAACCCCACTCGGCAGCCATTCTCTCAAGGGAAGCTTGCTTGAAGTTGCATTTGTTGAGGTGGGCAGTGTTGTATGGCCTCTTCTATATAATCAAGCTATCACCGCAGTCTGGACATCATATTTTACATAGAATAAAGTAATGGATGCTTGGGGACTGACTAACAGGATTTATAAGATTCATTTATAAGAAAGAAACTCTACAGCTATTGGAATAAGTCTCAAAATCTCTCCAGGGCCACTATGAAGTGGTTATTCTCACAAGACATAGGAATGCCTATTCTATTAAACAATGTTTAATAGAATATCATGTTCTAAAAGAGGCCAAGTGGGACCCAAACAGTATGTGAACAGAGAATATTAGTTCCCACCTCTCCACAAGTTGTAGTTTTAAAAGTGCTACTTTGCTGTTATTAATGACGGCACAAAAATTAGGAACCAAGACGTCTTTAAATCAAAATATAGCTGCTTTGGCAGTTAGGCAATCCCAAATCTTTGACAATTTGAGCTAATAAATCGCTAAAAGATGCCTCCCACACACACACATACCAACAACGACAATACTCCATTAAAAATACTTCACCAGTGAAATATGTACAAACTACCCCAACAACCCACAAAAATCCTACCCCCAAGTATAGAGATGAAAATTCCTTTGACTCCACAAACCATACTTGGCTTGAAGAACTCTTTCTGTATGTTCCTCCCATTTAGATACGCATCAACAATGTAGACTCTCCGGGCCCTGGACACATCTATCTACCAAGGCTCTCTTTCTAGGTTTGTGGATGGCTGGTTGGGTTGGGGAGGAGAATGTGTTAATGAGTGCACTGATGTTTATGAATACACAGGTATATAAGAGAAAGGGTGTAGCTGGTGGCCTCTCCTCCTCTGTATCAGCCCACCGATACTCTGCAACTTCCAGAAGTTTAGCCAAGAGAGAATTTGACTGAAAAGTTCCCTTTCATTGAAAAAAAAAAGTTGGCCTCCCCTTTTCCAGATGGAAGATCCACTGGAAGAAACAGAAATTTTGATTTAGACTCACCCTGGCTTTGTATCATTGGTTACACAGTGGTACGTGAAAGGTCCAAACATCTGAACCCCCAGAATTCCGTACAGAAGCAGAAAGAAGAGGAGGAATATTGACACACTCCAGATTTGTTCACCTGAACGCCTAGCAAAGAAAGGGAAGGAAAGGAGCACACATTAGATGCAAACGCAACATGAAAACATATATAGGAAAAGTATACTATTCCTGATTCACTTCCCTAAAAAAACAGGATTTATTAGAAACATTCAATAAGCAGGGCTTACAACCCTATTTCATAACGTATGTATGTCAAAATCAACAGGCAACAGAGCTGACTCAAGATATTTTATTGCTAGAGGCAAAAAAAAATAAAATAAAGATGGTGTACCCTCCCATTTCACTTGCAAGCCAACAGGACTCGCAGTTGCGTCCCTCAGCACTGGCAATTAGATGAAGGCACCACAGAGCAGGTTGACACCTCTCTCTCTCACACACACACATCTTACTGCTATCTGCCAGCTTTTGCTACGCAAGGGAACCACTTCAATTTGCCTATTGTTGGGACCACTACTGATGGACAGTAAGAACCTGACTTGGAAAAGTTACTTTTAAGGCTATTATTTCCAGAATCCCCCAAGTCTATAGAAGCACTGAGCTGAGACATTCTTTCAATTTTTTGAAATCCTTGAAGATATTTTCTTTTTCTTCTCAGAATGGAAAAAGGGAACAGAGAGGCTGGAGCTACATATGAATTTTAAGAAGTATACCACCACAAATATATCATAATTTAGATTATACATGAAGTAATGAACAATATTTAGGATCAAACAACACAAAGCATCCTTTCCCCCAATACATTCTTACACAATTATACACAGATTTAGCAGAAACACTATTTATAAAGAAATGTAATGTAAAGAAAGAAAGAAAGAAAACTTACTTTAAAATGTTAGTTATCCTGGTTCTTGGCAATTCAAAGCGGAAATAGATTCGGAATGCTCGAATCATAATAAGTGGCCGTGGTATCCTCAGCATGCCCCATGGTGACATTTGGTCAACAATCTCAGCAATTTCAAACACCTAAGAACAAAAGAAATGACTTTTCCCCCTCTGATTTTACCTAATCATAACTGCTATTGTTTGTGCAGTTTTCAATACCAACCTTTTTTCAGTAGTCATTTTCAATGAAATCAAGATTTCCATGTTTCTCTCTGCTAAAATCGATTGCTATCAAACCTATCAAGAGCAATGCTAGCAACTAAGGTCATAATGCAAATAATATGATTTTGGAACATAAAATATCAGTTATCTCAGCAGAGAAACCAACAGAATGAAAAATGGGAATTAAAGTAATCTTTAGATACTCAGTGTGGTTTAGTAGTAGAGTGACAGATTAGGACTCATAAGGCCTGAGTTCAAATCCCTGCTCTGTGACGGAAACTCACAGGGTACGTGGAACTGGTAAAACCACTTCTCACATGTCTCACTTACCTTGAAAGCCATTATTAGGGTTGCTATCAGACAGTTCCAAGTTGACAGCAGATAACAACAAAGTAAACTTAATAGGAAAAAGAAGGAATCACAAAGAGATGTAAAATGTCGAAATTTGAAGGGTGGCATTGTCCAGGTAGAATGAACTTAGGATAGCTAAAGGGTTAAGATCTAAGGAGGGTAAACAGGAAGATTTGCTATTCGTCATGAATAGTATGTTGTACTGCTTACAACCCAGTGTGGTGGGAAGGGAAGGAACAGGAATCCATTGAATTTTGTATCCTCAGATTGCCTCAAAATTGGCTGCTGAATTAATATATGCAAATGTACATTATATTCTATTTTGTGCATCAAACCAAATGTAAGCATTTCATTATTTCTGTGGCTTGTTTTGGAAGGATTCATGTTATACTGAATAATCAAAAGCCAAGATTATAAAATTATTCATATTTGTTCCTCTAGTCAAGAGCACAGTGTGGTTTGTGCACGAAAAATTAAGTCAGCTACTGTCTAAGCAAGAGTGCAAAATGTAACTGAGGTGCAGATCTTAGAATTTTAGGTAACAGTTTTTTTTTTTGTTACACACAGTACTCAGCTGTACAGTCATTGAATTGCTATGGAATAATGGAAGAAGGCAAATGTATAGCATTGCTTTACCCCAGAAAGGAGAACTGGCAATCCTTATAACACAGTATAATTACCTGTAAAACCAATGACACCCAAAGACAAAAAACCATGAATCCATCAAATACACACCAACGGTCCTTTACATAAGAAGTATCCCCCTATGGAAAGAAATGTAAACAAAATTATTTATATTGTTATTTCTGTTATCTTGTAGTGTATCATTATTAAACAAAGGGAGCAGGAATCATTCCCAAAATATAGTACTTATAATGAGGAAGCAATATTCTAGCCCTTGAAGTTTTAACCATTTTCTCCCCAAAAAACTGCTTGTACTCCATTTACACCATGAATCACAGAAAGCTCAGTAGTATTTACTACCCAGGTCCAGGAGCCACTCCTTCCATGAATGCTCACGCTCATGCCCAACAGGTGCTCGTGACAACCTATAACCATTAACCGTCAATATCAATATTGGGACAAGTTTAGTGCATCAGCAACAGAAGGTGTCATCTGGATTTTAAAAAAATTAGAAATAATAAGGCATCCATTTTGCTTTTTCAAACTTACGTTTCTTTCATGGTCCAACTTACAAGATGGTATTTTGACACACTTTGTGCTATAAATGTATCACAATTTCTGAGGGAGATCGAGACCATACAGCATATGTTCTTCACCTGCCCATTGTATGAAGCAGTATGAAAAGAGACTAACCCCCTTAATAGATAGATTCCCAGGACATTCAGAGGGAAATAGGCTTGAGTTCCTTCTCTCGGATGTTGATATGCAGATCAAGTTGCAAAATTTTGTGTAGCAATACTTTGATTGTGGTGCCTTGCAATACGATGTTAATTCGTTCCGCAAAAATTGCTGTTTTGCAAAAACATCATCTTGCAAAATGAAGTTCCCCATTGGAATGCAATGAAATCCATTTAATGCGTTCCAATGGGGAAAATAGGTGTTGTCTTGTGAAAATCGCCCATAGGAAAACCGTCTTGCGAAGCCCGAACCAACTGTCAAAATCGCTGTCTTGCGAAAAGCCGTCCTGAAAATACCCGTTTTGCGAGTCGTGGACCTACCTGTCAAAATAGTCGTCTTGTGAAAAACGGTCCCGAAAAAAAACCTATCTTGCAAAGCATGGACTGAAACATCGTATAGCCAAACTCGCCCATAGGGAAAACCATTTTGTGAAGCGCTATAGCGATTGCAAAAACTCATCATCTTGCGAATAAACCGTTTTGCGAGGTAATCGTCTAGCGAGGCACCACTGTACCAATTAGACTGTAGTTCCCAGTTGTGTGTATGCCAACGTGTTCTAATGGAATATTGAAAGTTAGAAATTTTAAGGTTTTATAAGGTTTTAAACTTATGTGACTGGTCCAAGGACTGTAAATAAACTTATAACTGCTTATAGTATCATAATTTATGCATTACTGGTGAAAATCCTATTAGTTACACTGCCTGGCTAACTAGAAAGTCACAAATCTCAGTAGTAAATTGCCAAGTTAAGAATTCAGTGTAGGCTCCTGGTGGTGTACACTCAGTTGCACAACCTGACATGCAACAGCAAAGGCCTACATTGGCTTCTTAACCTCTGGCAGTGTTCTGTAAGATTCACGTTGATAGAATGACAGCAAAGTAAAAATGTGATTTCCTGCATCATTGCTGGTCCCTTTATCTTGTCCATAGGAATGGCTTGTGCACCCTGGAGCGGGTAGGGCAAGGTAACTGAGGATGCACAATGAATGATCAAGCTAAACTTGACCTTGCTGCTTGGTTTGATCAGCACCTTTCCTGATCATGTTCCGATCCTTCTCACAAGTGCCCCTATCTGACTTCTTACAATAAGTCTATTAAATGGACCTGTTAGAATAATTACTATTCTTTAAAAGGGAAATTCACTTCTTCAAAATCCACATTTTTTACAACAACGAGACAGAACAACCCAAAGAGATTCTGACAAAACACTAATAGTTTGGACCAGCATGGACATGGGTTTTTAACTATAAAAGCCAGTTCTTAACATTTTCACACAGTGCAGTATGACGAAGAGTGGGAATACAGAGACATGGGTTGATTTTAACATGGGACGTGTGTGTAGGAGAGAGAGAATATGTTTCTTTTTTCAGGATCCAATATTGTATGTGGCAGGAGTCACCAACTGTATCATTTATTTATGTCCACTATGTGAATATTTACAATTTCGTTCCTATCAAGAGAAGCACAGCACAGCAGCTGCAGGACAATAATGCAGATCCTGTTCACTATCTTTGATAATCATTCTTTACTCACACTGAATCCATGTAAGAAATTCAATGGCTAAAATCCTGTCGCTTAGCATAGTAAGTTGCACTACAGTAGGCGCACAGGATCAGTGATGATTTGGTGAGTCAGGTCCTCCATACATTTCACTAATTTAAATCTCTGGAATTTGCAGAGGGACTCACCAAAATCCCACTGGTTCAGTGGGCTTACTCTAGTGCAATTTGCTATGCTTAGCAACAGAATTTCAACCAGTATGTGTGTGCACACAATGCCTCTAGATATTCTTCCAGTACATCATTTTTTAAGTAGTAGCCATGCTACTTTATTTCAGCATCTATCACAAAACAAATACAAAACAAAAACAGAAGAACTGTGGCACCTTAAAGACTGAGAGATTTATTTCTGTGTAAGCTTTTGTGAATTAAAATCCACCTCTTCAGTTATAGAGAGGAAATATTTAGCCACATGTTTATATGCATGATGGACAAACTTACAGTTTATGCGTACAATACAAATACCACATATATAAATCTGTGGCTGAATATTGTACACCATGTGTCACAGGAAGTCAAGTGTAATGTACAATAGCTCACACGAAACTAAAAATCTATTAAAGGTGTCACAGTACTTAAATTTTTGTTTTTCTGATACTTCCATGTATAATTGTTCACTTAAAATGACAGATATTTTGCAGTATGTACAATCAGGAGAAAGAGAAAAAAGAAATGAATCTATTGAAAAGTTATCTCTTATTTTTATTTTCCTGTCACCCATTATTAGGAGCGAAATCAGCACATGCAAAGACAGAACATGATGCCCTGTCACATAAGATATAGCAATTGATTCATTTTATGAACGTTGCTAAAATTCAGAACCGTTTAAAACAAAAGAAGGCAGAGAGGAAAGTGACAGTATATGAAACTGGCAATATTCCACTAATATGAGGACCCTTCAAGAAAAACAGTAAAGAACTTGAAAAAAAAGATATTAAACATTGCTAAGTAAATTATGTACCATGGCCTGGTACACATACAAAGTCCTAACTGTAATTAAGAGATCAGGAGCATACTATATATGTGTGGGCTCCATTCTGCTTCAACAGTACAAATTTCTTATTCAAGTCTGTTGTTTCACATTTTTGGACAGCAAGCTCCTGAAGTCTCCATGAGTTCCCCAGACAACACTCTGGGAATTTTATCTACAGATACAAATCAGCAGCAGACTGCTATATTTCACTCCTTTAGAAAAGAGCTTAACTCCAAGTAGTTCTCTTAGGTGCACCTACGTTTGCAGATGCTGTTCAGCAGAGCAACCTAGGGCAAACGAAACATCCAAAGCAGGAGCGTGGACCATTTCTGCTTCGGGGGTCCTGCATGACTGTTGTTGTTTTTTAAAAAGAATTATTGCAATTGTTTTTTTAATATTTTTAATTTTATTTCTGTTTTCTTTTTTTGCAAGCTGTTACCTGCCCAGAGTAGTGCTGTGACACTAACGGGAGTGGGACACTAAATAAATAAATAAATAAATAAATAAATAAATAAATAAATAAATAAATAAATAAATAAATAAATAAATAAATCAGCTTCTCCAGTCTTTGTTTCTTACTGAAAATTAAAAAAGAAAGTCACCACTGTGCTTCCTGGAAATTGTAGCTCTTTAGAAGATTCTCTCTATAGAGTCTAATAGGCAGTGAAACCGCCGATCAGCTGGCTGAAAATGGGGGCTTTGCAGTGATCGCTTCCCCGCGATCATCGCAAAGCGATTTTTCCCCATAGGGGCCATCGCTAAGCGATCGCTCTGGCAATGGCCAAAACCCCATCGCCAAGCAATTTAATCGCTCAACGGAGTGATCGCTAAGCGAGGCACCACTGTATACATGTTTTGGGCTTCAATATAAAAATATTCATATTCAATATCTAATTTTCACCTTCATTTAATTTGTGTAATATACTCTATTCCAATTTTATACAAACTGAGATACCATCAAATTCACCATGTGACACCTGTTAGTGCATTTTCCTTCATACACAAACACAGGAAAAGTTCTCATGCCTACAAAGAGTTGTATTCAAACTGGTTCTTAGGTTCGCCCTGCGATTGTATAAGCGGCAACCCAAAAGTATGAAATGTTCATTAGACATAACCTGATGTTACAGTATGTGAAAAATGTTAATGATGCATTTAAATATATATTTAAATTAACAATGACCTTCTGGCTCATGAGTTTCTACATCAACTTGTCAGTTATGAATTAACCGCTGTAACAAATAGTTGCTGACATCCTCTTGCACAGCTTTATGTGTAGAATGGAGATGATGTAATCATCAGTAGAAAATTGCCATTGATTAAACGCAGTTTGGGGATGCACAAAACCCATACACCATGCAGTGAAGTCATGTTTTCCCTGAAATCCCCAAAGAAAGCCTTTAATAGGTAGCAATTTGCTGCTGCTGCTATCATCATCACTGTTGCACGTGCAGAACAAGATTTTGGCTTGTGTTTAAATTTCTACTAAGCTGTGTTGAGGAGAAAGACAATCCACATAAAGTCACAGAATAAAGTATATTGTTCTCTTATTACCCAAATATGTGGCAAGCTTTGTAATCCTTGACAACATTTAAATCTGGGGGAAAACCCTTAACTCAATCTTAGTGTAAGCTGACAAATAATAAGCACCTTCAGAGGATTCTTCATAATGCTCAGTGATTAGCATCTTACAGTATTTCTTATCATGTGCCTGACCACTGGGGAAGTAAAATCTCAGCAGGTGAGTTAAGTCATCCAATAGTACTTTAACTAAGACTGATTTCTCCTTCTCTTTTAATTGCCTGAAATCTTTAGATTTCTGATTTAAAACAACAAACTATATGCATATTAAGAAGCCTGCATCTATGCA